ATTCACCAAGCAATCAGCAAAGCCATTCTACGCGCTTATGCATAAAGAGACACAGGATGAACTAAATACGTTTGCTTGAGTATCCTTTTCTATAATTACCTTGCGCTTAAAGCATCTGGTAACAAAGATGCTCTATACAGTTTAGGAAAAAAGGAGAGAGAGAGAAGAGGTCGTACGTTTCAGCACTCAAAAAACTATAGTTCAACCAGTCTCTAATAAAAAGCAGAAATCCGGCAAATCCGCTTAACGTTACGGTTACTATGGATGCAAATACTGGCGAAATGGTATTTGTCCGAGATTTCCTAAACACGGCAGTTTAGCTGTTCGCGTTGTCTGTACTTTGGTAGTCAGTACGATTCTGCCGCCCAGCAAATACGGCCGAAGCTGTCGAATTTCATTTTCTTGAAAGCCCTTTACTTTAGTTTCTGCTGCTTAATGGAGTCAAGATAGGCATGTTAATACTTAATGTTCAAGTAGAGATGACAAAGGATGTCCGCAAGTATCAGACTGCGCCACACCAAGCCTCATATGGTACGTTTACACAATATGATGTGAAATTGCTTCCCGCGCCTATGACCATACTCCTGGTCTGGCCTTTTCTGTGATATGTACTGAGTTAAGAGGTAAGACGGTGAATAATGGGTACTTCCTAGCTCCAAATAGACAACCTAGCTTCTCCATTTCACGTGAAAAGTTGACGCCAAATGATCTCCTCAGTGACCTAAGTTCTAACTAGCCAAAACTGGTAGCTTCCTAGCAAGGGTCCGCTGTCTATTAAATCTTTGAGTATTTGAGACAATACAATAGAATCGTACAATACTCTATGGTCTATAATAATAACTAGTTTCAATAAAGATGAGAGAAGCTTGTTATCCATATACCACAGTTCTAAAATACCGGTACTCGATTTTTCGAATTATCCAGTTAATATTGCTACGCTAGGTATGTGGCATCCACTAGGCTGGCGGTGAAACAAACTTTATTGTTTCAAATTTATCTCTGTAGGTTCGTTGAAAGGTACAAGACACCCGGATTATTACGGGAGATGGCAGAGATACAACGGCTAAATAAATTTGCGATCTTCAACGATATGAATGGATAAATGAGGATATTAATCATTTGCGGATGTGCCTGAGAGGGTACAGATTGCAGATACGACGGATCGCTAAGCACGAAAACAACGAAATATTTATTACCTGTTTGCTTGAGATTTCTCCGGTGTACAGAAAGTAGCACAACTCTTACGTACTCTAACATGGGGCCATCAAGATACAATTAAGTCATCTAACTCTGCGCTTGACATGCAATAGCGACATTCACATGTCTATAGCGAATGCTGAATATTGATGCCTTCTTTCAGTGTACTTGGTAGTTTTATGGTAGTTTTATAGTAGTAGTAGTTTTTATGGGACTCGCCCAACAATTTAGCGCGGCACTACGTCAACACCACCTGGGATCTTCTAATGCAGTGCACCGTATTAGTGGTATAGCGAATAATGCAAAATCGCGATTTGTTGGCTCATCCCATGGGGTGTGAATCTCAATACTATTGGCGCGCAAACAAGACTTCCATATAATCAGAGATTTTTTAATAAAACAAATAAAGGTAGATAATATAATTAAATCAAATTAGGCAGCGAGAAGCGCCATCTATCACACCAGAATCGACCACTGCACATCATGTTTGATAATAATTGAAGGAGTAATAAACATTCTATTGCGACACACCCTGTAGGAGTACCGAAAGTACGTCGCATCTACCAATAGTTCTTCTAACTAATCCAGTTTTAGAAAATCTGGTACGATATGCCCCAATAGTCTGTTTTTCAGCTGATATTTTTCCTCTTGTATGGTATGCAGCGGGTATATCGGGAAGTGTTATCACTTCCGAAACAGAATCCTTCGCCAATAAAACGCAGCTGATTCACCATTTTGATTCTGATAGTTTCAAGCAAACTCAAATAGTGTGAGTTCTGATACTGATGAGCTCTGCTGAATTTCTATCATCCACTTTTCTCAAAGGCTTTGGGAGAGGTCGCTAAGTCAAAACCAACCGTTGAGATTGTTGCAGACTTATTGACCTTTTCAGCATTCTACTGATACGTTATATGTACGTCTCTGTTGCCCTGAGCTACCATTGAATGAATGAATGAATCTTGAATTTTAGAGGCATCCCGGCCACCATAAGGAGCCAGTGCATAGGCCGCTTAAGCGGGCCCTTATGCACCTCTACAATACTTAAATCACAAGCCTCGCCCTTTTAGCGAAGTTGAGAATCGCCTTGAGTCCAAGCTCCTTTACGTCCTGAGGGTCCAAAGTAATGGACCCCAGTATAGTCTGCCTATAGTAGCTCAGAGCTTCACAGCGACACAAAACGTGCGCCGAGGTCTCTTCCTCTGCTCCGCAGCGTTCGCATAAGGGATCCTCAGCCACCCCCATCACGTGCAGGTGCCGCCTTAACGTGTTATGGCCAGACAACAGTCCCACCAGCAACCTTAGGTTGGCTCTACCCAGAGATAGGCAGAAGCGTCCATCCTTAGCACTGGGCCCTTCAATGAGCTCTCGTGCCTGGCGGAGATGTCTAGAGATACTTCTCCATTTCTGAGAGTGTTGTCTTGCAACCCACGTCTCCATTTTCCTCCTAGCTTTATGCGCGGTTACTCCTAGAGCTGGCTCAGGACCAACGAGCTTGCTGGCTGATCCTGTTTTCGCCAGACTGTCCGCCGTCTCATTGCCCCTTATCCCAGCGTGCCCCGGTACCCATATTAACGATACCGGATGCCTCGCTGCGAGGCAATCCAGAGCCTCCCTGCATTGCAATACAAGACTCGAAGTAATCTTACATGCACTTAGTGCTTTCATTGCAGCCTGGCTGTCGGATAAGATTGTTATTCTTCTCCTAGGCCCACCCTCCTCCAGAATGTGAGATACACAAGCCAGAATCGCAAAGATTTCCGCCTGGAAAATGGTGGTGTACTCACCGAGAGGCAGAGATAGCCTAGTTCTAGGTCCAGAGACCCCAGCACCTGAGCCCTCTTCGGTGACCGAGCCGTCCGTGTACCAGACCTGCCCGCTCACTTCGGAGAGTCCTCGGCTACCGGCGTCCCACTCCTCCCTCGTTGGGTACTCCACAATGAACTTGCGGTTGAAGCGATATTTAGGGGTAATACGATCACCCCTGCTTAGAAGGACGGGGTCCTCCCTATCTAATTCGACTAATATGGCAGTATGCCCCTTGACCGGATTCAAGAAAGCCCAGCTGCCCTGACTCCACAGTCGATGAGCGACTACTCTCGCTTCACCGCGGATCACCAGATCCAACGGTGGGAGATCCAACAGAGCTTCCATTGCACTCAATGGCGTTGTTCGCACTGCGCTTGTAATGCTAATACAGGCCAAACGCTGAATTTTATTGAGTTTGGCCTTAGTTGACTCAGTTCTAATGCAAGGCCACCAGACCAGGGAGCCGTACAAGAGAGATGGACGTACTATCGTCGTGTAGAGCCAGTATACCACTTTGGGTTTAAGCCCCCACCTTACACCGACAACACGTCTACAAGCCCACATCGAATTGCGAGCCTTGCTAACCTTGTGTTCCACATGCTCTCTCCAGTTCAGTTTGCAGTCCAGGATAATTCCCAGATATTTCACTGACTGGGACAAAACTAATCTAGTCCCAAAGAAGGTAGGCATGACCAGTCCGTCAAGCCTTCTTCTCCTAGTGAATAGGATCAGCTCGGTCTTTTCAGCATTAACAGAAAGATCGACTTCCCTACACCACGATTCCACGGAGCGCAGAGCGCCCTGCATAATTTCCGAGACTGTTCTACAGAAACGCCCCCTAACCACTATGCTTACGTCATCAGCATAGGCTTGCACGTAGACACCCATACTGTTGAGCCTAACGAGCAGTTCGTTCACCACGATACACCACAGTAGGGGTGACAGAACTCCACCCTGAGGGCAGCCTCTAGCTACGTTCACGCTGCAGCTTACGTTATTCAGCATAGCTGTTGTTACCCGACCCTCCAGAGTAGAGAGGACCCAATGTATTAGGATTGATCCAACCCCGTGTCTAACCAAGGCCTGTCTGATAGAGTCGGTTGTGGTGCAATTAAATGCACCTTCAATATCTAAGAAGGCCACGAGTGCCACTTCTCGCTGATCTAGAGTCTTCTCCAGCCTCCCAACCAGATTGTGTAAGGCCAGATCAGTCGATTTTCCAGCTTGGTATGCAAACTGATTTGCATGAATGACACACCTTTCCAGTGGGCCATCCCTTAGGTATCTATCAACTATCCTTTCCAGGGTCTTAAGCACAAAAGATGAAAGAGTAATCGGTCGAAAATCCTTCGGGCCAGTATATCTATCTCTGCCCGGTTTAGGAATGAATACCACTTTAGCCTGCCGCCAACTTCTAGGTGTGAAGCCCGTGGCCACACATGCTCGAAACACATTCAACAGGTAAGGAACAACCGAAATCCGTCCCTGCTGTAACATGGCCGGAAATACGCCGTCCAGACCTGGACTTTTGTATGGGGCAAACGAATCTACTGCCCATACCGTCCTTTCGAAGGTGACAATCTCCCTTGCCGTGCGCCAGTCCTCCCTTGAGGGCCTGCGCAACTGCATGCACTCTGTGATTGATCGCGCTACTGTGGAACCGGGAAAGTGCGTATCCATCAGAAGCCTCAGAGTATCTTCCTCGGAAGTAGTGTTCCCTCCCGAGGGATCATGCAGAGATCCCAATCTTGCTTTAGTGTCTTTGCATAGGACTCTGTGTATTCTTGCAGTAGCAGGAATGTCATTTATGGACTGACAGAAGTGCCTCCAGGATTCTCTGGAGGCCCTTCTAATCTCCTTTTTGTACTCCTGCAATGCCTTTTTGTATTCTTCCCATAGAGGAGAACCTCTCCTGTGCTTAACTCTGCTAAGAAGTTTGTGCACCGCTCGTTTTCTATCCTCTAAATCTTTGGTCCAGAAGGTTGCCTTGCCCTTACCTTGTACTTTGCGTAACGGGCAGTTTTCCTCATATGCGGCCGTCAAGTCCCTGCTCAGAGACTCGACAGCTGCTTCTATGTCAGAGCCCCTGCCAAGCCTGTATGGGACCGCTCCAAGCTTACTGTCAATGTCTGCCCTAAAGGACCCCCATCTAGTATGCCTGGGATTCCGAGCATATTTATCCGGAATCTCTCCATCAGTCTTGAACAGTATATACCTGTGATCCGATAGAGAGGGTGTTAGAGACACTTTCCAGTCCCTGATGTCCTGAGCTAAGTTAAGCGTGCTCAGTGTTACGTCGATAACCTCTTCTCTTACACTATTGCTGAAAGTGGGCATGTTACCGACATTCAGAACCTCAAGGTTCGATGCCCCAAGAAACTCCATCAGGTCTTCGCCTCGTCTGTTGGTGTTCGAGCTGCCCCACGCAACGTGATGGGCATTACTGTCGCATCCAATCACAAGGTCGAGTCCAGAATCCCTACAGAATGCGACAAGGTCCCCCATTTCCTTAGACGGAGGAGGGTCTCTTGAATCGTAAGGAAGGTAAGCCGAACAGACAACCAAGTCCCTGTCACTGCCTTCCTTCTTATATCTAATTCTGACTGCAACTAAGTCTCTAAATGTAAATTCTTTAAGTTGCCATGAGTTGACGGAAGTCATTACGCAAGCTCTGGGCTTAGTGTCCGGAGTATCGCTAAAAAGCGTATAGCCTGGTATACTAAGCCCGTTTACTGAACCGTTTCTCAGCCAGGGTTCCTGGATGAGAGCCACGTCATGTCGGCCTCGAGTGATCTCCTGAGTAAGGGCCCTCGAAGCCGCTATGCAGTGTTGTAAGTTAATTTGGATGAAATTAAAACTTACCATGGATGTTGAGAGGCCCTTCCTACACCTTCCCGAATGACGGTATGTAACCCCTATTCGGGCGTACCGCCGTCGCCGCCGCAGTCATCGCTGCCACAGCCGCCTTCATCTCCGCTTCCACGGAGGAGTTCTCGGACTCGGTTCAGGATTCCATCCTCGTCCGAGTCGCTATCGTTTTCCTCTGGGACCAGATCCATCGCAGGGTCCGCCACGATGTTTTCTGCGGATATCCCGCTTGGACCCGCCGCCTCCACGTCCGTAGCCTCCGGTGGCTCCAGCGAGAGCTGACCCGGCCGACCCATCCCCTGTGAAGGAGCCTGGTCTACCGCCACAGCTCCCGTCGGTCTGGGCTGGTCCGACTCCTGGTTTGGAGCCAGGCCAGTTCCAGCAGGTGTCGCTCCACTGCTCTTCTTCTTGCTCAGGAGTGTAAACACCCCCGAACTTCCACCGCAACACAGCCTGTTGCCGTTACCTACAATGACCTTCCAGCTTATGGAATCAACTGAGAGGACAAGTCGGACACCTATCGGCTCTTCCTTCCTCTCAAGTATCCTCCACGCGCTGGGAAAAGTCCCAGGATTGTGCCTCCTGAGTCTCCTCGTGATGACCCCGTTGTCCAGGTTGGGACCCGGAAACCAGGCCATCACGCGGTGGTATATGGGAAGGTCTCCAAAGCTCATCGTAATGAGCCTTGCGCCTTCCCACGGCCGCAGATCCCCCACGTGGGCCTCCAACCATGCCCTAGAGGATTCGTCCTCGCAGACAAAGATGGCTGCCCCTCGAGAGAGGTAGCAGTCAATGTACCTGGGAAGGGTCACCTCATCTGGGATCCCATCTATCAGCACACTGACCGCCTCCTGGACCTGCTGCACCTGTACATTAGTAAGTTGAGTCCCAGGATAACCGTCGGACACGACGGCCACCCTGAGACCCGCTTGGGACGCTCGCGCATAACTAATTTGCGCATGCGTCGTAGTGCGAGGCTTCTTCCGCGAGGATGCGCCCTCCGGTGTCCCACCGGCAGACCTCTGCCGCTTCCCGTCACCGGGCCGCTTTAGGGTCTCCGCTGACACACCGGATTGCGCACCGTCTAGCCCAGATGGCGGTTGGGTCCGTCCAGCCGGGGTCCCAGAAGTGGTGCCCCGACCTTCCGAGCCCTCCGTCATCTGCGCCTCTCTCCGCTTCCGAGCCCTTTTCCTTTCGGAACCTGGCCGAGACTTTTTCTTAATCTTTAGAGAGCCCACCCTTTCCGCTAGCTCTCTCGCTAAGCTTCTGACAGATTCCTCTGTCAGAGTACGATCAGGGTCCCCTGGTGAGGGGTCGCCTGGATGTTCGGGGTCCCCTGTAGGGGGGGCCTCGGGTTTTTTATTATTTTTTCCATCGTTTGGTTCCATAATGTTCCCACGAGTATAGGGGAAGTGGTGATCGACGTCCGCGGTGCCCCTACACGGACGCAAGGCTGGATACTCTGGGAGGTCGCCCGGTGTCCCAGAGGCTCCGTTTAAGACGGTGCATCCCCACCGCCACGCACCCCTCGGCACGGAATCGCTTAACACCTTGGGTTGGGTAACGTACCATTGCCCATGATGACCGTTGAGCTGCAGGCGTCCCAGATATACATCCGAGACACCTGTGGCTCAACGAATCATTCGATTGGCCGGGCTACCGGCTTTCCGGCGGGTCTCCTCAAAAACTAATCGAGGCGGTCCACCGCAAGACCGGCACCCCGTTGCCCCCCCTACACGGTCGCACACGGTTCAGCGCCCAAGGCCGCCCCGCAGAACGAACTCGAGGACGTACGGGTTGGATTTTGTAGGGGTGAGCTACCATTAATGCTGTCACCACATTGCAAGCCTACTAAATAAACCAGGACCCAGCTTCAGGATATATTTTGTTGAGCTCCACACAGGGTGTTTCTAAAACCTGAGATAAGTTTCTAAAACCTGAGATATAAGTTCAAAGAATTCCTTGGGTGATTTTCGAAAAATCCTCCGTTCCTGTCATTCAGAGAGAACGAAGTAGTAGTTGTTCTTTTGCAAAAATCTCTTGCGAAACAATAACTGCTCAAAGAATCCTACATCGGCCATTATCTGTATAATCTGACTTATCCAAAGGTCTTCGTATTTTTGTGACTACGCCGACAAGACATTCTAGCTGGAGTCACCTATTTTGGTCACCCGGCTCCAAATATAGTTTGCGGTTTTTCGAAGATCAGCAAGATATCAAATAGACACGAAATGTCTCGAAATTATCATGCTTTGGATCTTTAAGGAAACGCCCTTTGAATCGGCAACTACTAGGGTGTCGACTATAGGCTTTTCTTAACCTTAGCCTATCCAAATTTGAGTTTTATGTCAACATCAACATCTGTTCGAACTACTTACGGTAGATGCGACACCTTATTCAAGTTTTTCTAACGACTGCGTCTTTCAAGACATCACTGTCAGATGCACAATTTTTGTACTACTGCAATTTTAAATCCCTCCGAGTTGTGTTTCTTGCTCATAAGTATTTGCAACACAGTAACTGAGTGAAGATAGTGGTTCTCTGGTGTTCCATTGCGTGAGATGTCATGCGCCACGCGTAATCCGCTAATATAGTCACGTCAGCATAATTAACAGCAGATCGGATTATGCCTTCTTGTTAAGCAGATATACAAATTAGCTAAACTCAGTAGCTTAATTACTGCTTGACCTAGTTTCAAGATATACCATATGTATCCGATGTTGATACCGTATCAAATTCAGCCCTCCATCCTAATAAGTCAAATTATTCCAAGTAGTGGACAACCCAAGAACAAAGGAATGCCTGAAAGCTTTTGGAAATGTAGTTAGGGATTCGTCAGGTTAAGTAGGTCGATATTTCATCAGAAACTAATTGACTTAACTTGTTAATAAATATACTTGAAACGTTAATGCTTGACTTGCCTTGACTTTTTATTGTTCTACCTGACTTGAGATCAAGCTTTCCCAAACTACTTGATATTTCATGGTAATTTATAGTTTTGTTCTACTAAAGGCCTATTCAGTGGTATCTATTTGTACAACCAATGAACCGTATTTTGCGTTTGAATGCAAATAATCACGAGTAATTGTTTTAATGACAATAGATTTTTATCGACACCTGCAACATCAGCGTCCATTGATAGGGAATGTTCTACGGCGGCACTGACCATTACGGTACCCTGTAACAGATCATGGGATAAATCCGTATGGACCCTCATGGGTCTCAACTCATTGCGAGGGAATAAAAAGCTGATTCAGGATTTTTAATTTTTTGTATATGTTTTTTTTTCTATTTGAGCTTAGTCTTATCGTCCTCTTGTTTGTTATACGATGAAGTAAATATTTCGTTGCTTTGTTTAATCTATTACTTGTCAAAAAGTTTTTCCGTTGTGTATTTAAAATCTATACGTATTTATATAACAAAAGTTATCAAGCAATATCAAGGCTACTCGAATTTTCAAGTACTTGACGTAAAAACTGCTTGACGTGATTTATATTGCTTATATCTAATATTTGGCTTGAGCTTTACTTAATGTCAAGATAAGTCTAGTCAAGTAGCTTGAAAATCATGCCAAGTAGTGAAGCCCTGATTGTAGTTGGACACAAAATGCAGTACTTTGCTTGTATAATTCTTAAATTGAATTTTATAAGTAATCGTTAAGCTGGAGATTTTACAGCACAAAAAGACCTTCAACTTTGTTTCTCAAGAATTAAAATCGATAAACAATTAAGCTAAATACGGAGCTTTTTAACAACATTGAATAAATTGTAATAAAAATTGTGAATGGCTAAAAATTTGTGAGAATAAGGGCATTATTGGTGTTAATATGTGTGCTAAACTTCTGCCGGATAGGTTTAATAGTTTATGTAAAAAGCTAATTGCTTATCTTCCAGTCCTCCAGTCTGACCGCGCTGTGAAATTTTGCATTATCTCAGCTTCTATACAACGTAGAACCTTCGTTTTTTTTTAGTCTGGAGTAACTCGTCGAAATTATGACATCTGGTACATTTTCATTTTCCTGGAAAATCGGAAAATCCCGGAAAACTTAACACGTTGTATTCTTCGTAATTAAATTACTATGAAGTAATAATAAATTAACAATAAATCATTTACTTTTACTCTCACTATAATAAAATAATTTAGATTTTACAATAAAAATGTTTAAACAATTCATAATTCAGTTAACATAAATTCAATATACTCTTAACAAAGTACACTCCAGTAAGTGGTAAAATAATTTGATTCACGTATGTCTTTTAATTGTATTCATTTTATTTGCATTCTTTGTGTAATGATAATATTATATAATGTATTTTTTCATATTAACATTTTATTATTTAATTAATCGTCCGTAGTAAATCTTTTATTTGGACGCTCTACTTCTTCAATATTTGCATAACTCGTTTCTTCAAATAAGTCATCGATTTCATCATCGTTCATTCCAATTACGGCAAGGTTGTATCAGTCAT